TTCCTTAAGTGGGTATTTAATGACCAGTTAGTGTGACGACTAATGGATATGACAAAAGTCTTTTTCATCAAAGATTTGGGGCACATAAATGAAACCATTTCTCAGACCTTTTGGCAATCCCAGGAACCACCCAAGAGCCTTTGGAAAAATAAATGCTTTTCTGCTTAAATCAGCCCAAACTGATGTGTGCTACTAAGAACCCTGACTAATACAGTAATTTTAGTAAATAGATGCAAAGTTCCTGTACCTAGTCAACTATGTGGACCCACAGCAGAGTCCTGGCTCATTACATATCACGTATCCTTGAACATGTCTCTTAACCTGGATGAACATGTTTTATATCTATAAAATTGCAGGAACAATTTCTATTCCATCGACCTTTATCAAACAAGTAAATGCATGTAAAATTGCTGTCATATGTTAAGTGATTTATGTTATAGAAGTGAAAGTATTGTTTACCCAAAGTACGATGATTATTTTTATTTCATATTTTACCAATTGGTGAAAAACTGCTGATTTACTTTTGGATGTTATTCTAAGAGGGAAAAATAATTTATTCCTGATTTTTATATTCTGCTATTCTCTTCGGTATTCTTTTTTTAAAAAAAATATATTTTATTGATTTTTTTACAGAGAGGAAGGGAGAGGGATAGAGAGCTAGAAACATCGATGAGAGAGAAACATCGATCAGCTGCCTCTTGCACACCTCCTACTGGGGATGTGCCCGCAACCAAGGCACACGCCCTTGACCAGAATCAAACCTGGGACCCCTCAGTCCGCAGGCCGACGCTTTATCCACTGAGCCAAACCGGTCAGGGCCTCTTCAGTATTCTTAAGACACAATGGCTCAATATTTTTCAAGGAAAGGGAGAAAATTCTCTCTCTTTACTCCTCCCAGTTCCTCTGAAGGGGAGGGGACTAAGATGTCCCCAGAAAACTACTTAGCCAGTCTGCTGTGTGTTGGAGGGGCCAACGTGTTACTGGAGCTTGAAACTCAGTATAGAAGAACATCAGAGATTGGGGGGCACAGGGGAACAGGGGGCAGAAAACCTATAACTCAGCAGTCTGTGTCGAGGATATTAGACAATAGGCCATTGAGCTTGAGATGCACATGTGGGGCAATAAAGTTCATGACCATCCCACTCATGGCATGACAGGAAAACCCTCACCTCCCTCCAGTCAGTCTTCCCAGTTTGTCTTCTCTCCTGAGGGTTACCACCTCCTGCTCTTCACTTGTGACCGATTACCAGGACTGTTATCATTGAAACCAGGGGGTGTGGAGGGTTCAGGTTACTCTGTAGGCAAGTGACACTTGCACTGGCTTTTGAGAAACGTGGAAACTGGGCACCCAACTTGATTGGCAATAGTTCAAAATTATGTAAACACCCAGAGTGTTTGTTGACAGTAGGAGGTTTTATTGAGAGGAATATAAAGACCACAAATATTTTGCATCTGGAACTGGTAAATGGTAATTGCCTCAAGTCTCACAAGGACCCAAAATGTTGCCTATAGAGGCTAAATGTCTGAAAGTTGTTTTTATGAGCTTTTCCTTAAAAGCCCTTATATTTTTCACCGCTGTTCATTCCAATAAATAGTACAAGGCCATCTAGCATGAAGAAGGCCCTGGTGATATGAAGAAGAAGAACACAGTCTTGTCCTCCTGGGATTTATAACATGAAAGATTATCCTCTGTTGGTGTGAAATTTCCTCTGAGTTGGCTTGGCCTCTTACTTCCACCTGAGCACCATCAGGTTCATTTCCTGACATTGGCTGCTTTTGTTTGTTTGGTGGAGTTTTGCATATATTATAGCTTTGATCATGTGCATACACAGGAACCCCTGTGGAGAATTTCCAAAGGTTGCATTGTACTTTAACAGTTAAAGGCTGAGGCTGTCTATAACCTTTATACCACAGTGTCATTGTGGTAAGTCCTGTGCGACACCCACCGTACTATTGTCTCTCTTGTGAAGGCTTGTTTGCTGCATTTCTGAAACCTTTTGGCTTTTTTTTTTTGGTTTATTTTGTAGTAGAGTGACTTTGAGTAAATATATTCTTTATTTGTTTGTCCAAGAAGCTTGAGATCCAATCCATTAGCAAATCCAGGCCACTCTACCTTCAAAATATATCTTGAATCTGACCACTTTTACCTCCTCCATCCCTGTTATTACAGTCCAAGCCACCTTCTTGCCTAGAAAGCAGCAGTTGTCTCCCACGTCTTTCCTGTTCTCTGATCGCCTTATTACAGTCTATGCTCCACAAGGCAGCCAGTGATGTGTGTAAAATGCAAACCAGATCTTGTCACTTCCCTGCCTGGATCCTTCAATGGCATCCCATCGCAGTCAGATTGAAGCCCTCGGCTGCCTGTGGCTGCTAAGAGGGTTGGTGGTAGGAAATGAGGTGACAAAGTCAACCAGGGATGGTCAGCCTCCCACTCAAGCCTCACCCTCTGCTGGCCTGACTATAACTTCAACAAGCAAAGTCAGCTTCCATTTAGGAACTCTGAGCTGACTGCTCCCTCTCCCTGGAACTCTGTTCCCCTATAATTCTCAGGCTTTGCTCTCTCACTTCATCCCAGCCTGCCCAAATGTCACTTTCTCAGAGACCTTTGCCCGTCCCCTAGCTAAATATCACCTGCGCACTGCCACCATGGTGTATCCTCTTATTCCTGGTGTTGCTTCATGGGATTTAAAATGGCCTGACATGATGTAAGCTCCATGAAGGCAGGGACAAACAAGGTGTCCCATAAGTAGTTATGGAATGAATGAACCATCATATTTCACTTTTACCAAAAATTATGAGATATCCTTCATCTTGGTTAGCAGAAGAGGAAATGAGGTTCATAAAGGTTAAATTATTTGCAGTATGGAACAGATCCAAAGTATAAATTCATTGCCTCCCCATGTCAAAGGCCTTGCTCATTCCTGCGCAGTTTTTCCATGTGCATCCTTTGAGAGAGTTCTCTGGATAAATAGCTTGGACGTTTGTTCAACAAATATTTATTAAAGAATAGATTGTAGATGTATTTGAGGGGGGAAAAACATCTCGATCAAACTTAATTCTATCATTTAAAATCTAAAGCAAAGAAATCGATTTCACAAATCATCAGCATCCTTTGTGAGATTTCTTCGGTTCCTGGGAACCAGGATCACTGCATCAGCAGCCAGACTCTCTCCTTAGCAGCATATCCCTCCGTCTGCACTGCTCGGACCACCCACGGCCCCAAGCTCCTGTCCTAAACCATAGCCTCATAATTGGAAGTGGATATTTTAAGATAAAAGCTGTACCTGGCAAATAAAGAAACATATTTGTTCTAAGTTTAATTAAATAAGTCTGGGCAGCCTTTTTGCAATATGGAGATTAACTGTCAACTTTATGTTAATATGATCTCAGAGAATGAAGCTGCTATAAAAAGTTTCTCCCCTCACCCCTTGCGTAAGCGCCTCATGTTGTTGTATTGAAATTTCTTTAAATTAGCAGTGTCTTATTAAAATATCACCAGGTCAGTTTAACTGCAAGAACAAGGCAGTTAAAAATATCTAACAAGTTCCAAATGTTAGTTTGAAGACATCAGTACGAATAAACTGAAATCATATCTAGTATATGGAGAAAATACTGTCACAATGATTGGATTTTCAGCATCTCGGTGGAATCCTTCAATGCCAGGCTCTCCTTCATCTGATTAACTGAGGATTATAAAGATCTCCTGAGCACTGTTAGTATAGTACAAAGAGCCTTTCATGTCTCTGAGTTTCCCCCTCCTTTTGTGTGTGTGTATGTGTGTGTGTGTGTAAAAGATGTACCACCCAATTTTTTTTATTTTGCGATTTAAGAAAAAAATACTAACAGTTTGAATCATGAGTCCTGTTGTGGGGACTGAGTTAATTAAAAACCTGATGTATACATACAGCTGATCCTACTCACCCTAATGAAGAACATTAATTCTAGGACATGTGTGGCTGTAGTCACATTGCTACAAATTACTGGACTCTTTCCTTTATCTGTTTCCAAGAAAGTCTCCCCCTGTTAGGAAAAAAGAAAAATATGATGCCTTAGTTCTGAGCGGCATAAATTACATGCATCAATCAGAGAAAGCTAAATTAAAATACACATTTGGCAAACAAATATGAATATGTTGATCTCATCTGTGAATCAAAATGATTTAGTGCCAGGACTGACCCCCCGCTGTTCAACAGGAAGGTCACCGTGAGAGGCTTCTTTCTCATTGAGAAATGTTTTCGTGTCTTTTAAGGGTGCAATTTTATACATGCCCTAATGTTCAGTCTCACCAGTGATTCCTGTGTACAGAGACTGATTTATTTTATAAAGAAAATACAGGCTCATTTTTATTTATGTAATTCAAAACAGATAGCTAAATTAAAATGTGGGGTGGGGGCAATGCAGTAGTTTATGGCTCCTGGGCTGAGGAGTCTCCAATGTGTTTATGATATTTTCTAATCTAGCAGAATACTATTTGTGAAATGGAATGCTACACCTTTCCGATATTGAGTGATCATAAATCAGTCTGTTCTTATCACCTCCTGCATGCATTCTTGGGGCAGGGATAAGTGCTGGAGAGATGCCCATTACATGGCAAACCTTAAGTAGACATGATGTTGGGTCCTTCAGGTTGCCATTTGTTGAAAATATCTGTAGGTGAAGCAGGCAGATTGAGTAACGCAGTGATCTTCCCGGACGGAAGTGTGTTTTATGTTGTGACATTTATTGTGAATATTCATGTTGTATTCTCTTGCTAAGGTGTCATGCTCGTAACTACAAACCAGTGCGATGATCCTGTCTGTATTAAAGGAGGGGGTATACAATGCATGCCTTTGATAGTTTACAACTTAGTACTGAGAACACTTGGAGCTAAACACAAGAAGTCAAATTACAAAACTAAGACAGAATTGCATGACACGCACGCTTTAGTCTGCCAATCACCTGAGGCATTTGTTAAAGTACAAATTCTCAGGCCTCACTCCCCCAGTTTCTAATTCAGTAGGTCTGGAATGAGACGTGGGATCTGCCTTTCTCATGAGCTCTCCAGGTGGTTCTTATTAAATGTTACTCATAACAAACTTTGAGAAAGATAATGGGTGGAAAGAAGACTAAGAAAGATAATGGGTGGAAAGAAGACTAAGAAAGATAATGGGTGGAAAGAAGACTAAGTGATTCATAATTCCTTGTTTTTAGCAGTCTGAGAAAAGATTTTATCAAGAGATTAAATCCAGAGTTGGGATGAGCAATTTGTGCAAAAAAAAAAAATTGTCACTTGAGACAGCAGGGTTCTAGAGGATGTATTATGACAGTTATTTTAAATTGAAGTATTTAGGGGGAGACGGGAAATAAGGCAGATCAAATAGGGAGCTGCCTGGAATCAGGCACCTTTTAGCTACAACAGCCAAACCTCACAGATCTTTTTCAGTAAATTCCAATTTGAAATATTCAGTTCCATTATCCCCATACCCTGTGCACCAATTTTTGACTCAAGAAATGTGATTGCTGTGTTTCTTGGGCAAATTCTCAGATTATGTTTTACATTCTAGGGTACTAATAAGTATGGAAGCTTCCAGAAGGAAAAAATCCACTGAGGTAAGGTGAAAGAAGTATCATTATGTCACCTATTTTGGGGAGGGGGAGAGGGGTGGAGGGACAATAGTTTTGTCTACTTCTTCTATGATGCAATTGAGAAACACTGAAGTTTTAGAAAAGTAAAATGATGTGACCAAAATGATGTTTGAGGAATACTGTGTCTTAGGGAGGAAAAAGGAAAAACAAACTTAAGTCAATTTTGCATAGATCCATGTTGATTGTTAAGATAGTCAAGATGAATGGGTTGGTTGTGCCGCAGTCTGTTCATTTGGCTCAGATAGGCACTGCCAAGAGTAACTTGGGTACAATTTTGCTCTGTGCTAATTAGAGTTGGTCAAATGATCCTCTGATGAATTTCCTCCCCTAGATAGAATTTGAGAGGATATACAAAACAAAGTAATTATTGGGGGTGCCAATTATCCATAGGGGCACCATCTACACTGAAGCCAGGGATGTAGAACTTGGTCTCAAATTTGTAGAAATTTTGCTCCCCAACTAACACAAACCCATTAAAAGTCCTCTTTCAGTGGGCACACAACCAATAGTGCATATGCTGATAGCATTTTCACATACAAATCTGATAGTTAGGCACACCATTACCCAATTTACACATGCAAATGCAGTAATTGTGTGCACTGGGTGCTCAGGGAAACCTGGCACACACCCAAAATGGAGGCCTTTTCAAAGCATGACCAACTCACCAAATTCCTCTTCCCCAGCAGCTCATGGTACTGTCTTACCCCATTATACAGAGTCTGTGGGATTCTGGGAGAAAGGAGAAGTGCTTTGTGGATTTCCCTGAATGAGTGAAACTTTTTAAATCTCTACTGGTTTGGACGTGTTCTAAGTTCTCTTTTCTTCTCTTCAATTAATTATAGACTTCACTATTTTATTTTTCTGCTTTAAAAATTAACTGATTAGAAAGTACAGATTCTCTCATTATGACTTATTCTCATCTATAACTTGAGAGATTGATTATGAATTGTTGCAATAAATGATTTGCACTTTTAAAAGAATGGAAATTACTGTTTACAGCTATGTGCACATGTGTTTACTCCAAGATGCATTCAATTATTCTAATTTACTGAGCTGCTGCAGAAGCAGCCATTAACTATCTCCTGTTTCTTTGTTTATGTATTTTAAAAAGCCTGGGGCCTCTTGACTACTCAGGTGGTACACTGCAGGCAAAGTAATTTAAGAAGTATAAATAAGATTAAGTGTATTTGTTTTGCCAGTGTTTCTTACAGAGGGGAAGTGTAAGAGTCTGACATAGATCGTGGCAAGATTTTTTAATTAACTGACGGTAGCAGAAAAATCACGAGAGGAAATTTTACCAAAAGTGGAGAAATAAGGGATATTTTGAGAGAGAAAAATGGAATTGAAACTTATAACTCTCATTAATTCAATCAATCAATAAAATTATAACTCTTATTCAGAAAATACTGTGTGCTTACTACATTCCATATATATACTGTTTTAAGTGTCCTTTTATCTCCTTGTTCTCATTGCTGAACATTCCATTTCATCTCTATTGACCCCTTAACTGGTGGGTTTGTCCAGAACCCCAGATCTGTCCTCAACGTTCTCCTTACTTAACCATCTCTTCATGAGAAGCCTCATCTTCATTTCTGACCTGCATGTCGCTTTCTCCAGACTAGACTTCTCTTCTGAATTCCAAATCTAGATTTCCAGAAGCTTTCGCATATGCCCATCAAAGTGTTCCAATGTAATACTCTTTGTAATACTTTAAGCAATAAAACAATTAAAAAAAAAGTGTTCCAAAGTACAGCAATCTTAACAGGTCCATAGTGGGATATGTATCTTCTCCACACTTCATGCTAGAGGTATCTTTGGGTTCTCTCTTCAAGTCACACATCCTATTGGTCACTGAGTTCAGTAATATTTGTAATTCAAAAATGTTTCATTTTGAGTTTGGTCTCTTCCCACTGCCTGCCTGAGTTCAGGACACTTGCAATGCTTTTATAGCTTTCATCAGTCTCTCTTCTAGGTTACTCTATTCTCTCACTCTCTTACCAGGAGTGTCTTCCTGAAGTGCACTCTGTTTATATACTGCTTGCGTAGTGCCTTTAATTGCTTCCACAAACATACACAAATATACATGCTATAAAGTTCAAATTCCATTGTTTCCTGTACCAGATCTGGTTGCATTGCACCTGACTAATTTTGTCATTGAAAAACCCATCAACTTTCACACTGCAACGTCATTGCCCATGCCACTCCCTTCTATTGATATGTTCCTCCCTCTTTATTAGCATTAGCTTTCATTTTGTTGCTTTTTTTCTCTTCATCTTTCAAAGTCCACCTCAAATGACTTCTTTTATGAAACTATTCTGGCACCTACTCCAGCAACAGAGCAAATGTTGTCATCTCGATAATGATACTGCTTTTACCATATTAATTGCCTATCATTTTATATAATAAACTAGAGGCCCAGTGACAAAATTCATGCACTCGGGGGGAGGGGGGTGTCCCCCCAGCCTGGCCTGTGCCCTCTCACAGTGCGGGAGCCCCGCGATTGATTGTCCCAAAGAGGTAGGCCCGGCCCACCCATCCAGGGCTCCTAGATGGATTGCCCCAAAGAGGTAGGCCAGAGCCAGGGGTCCTGCCTCCACAGCAGGCATGGGGCCGCAGGAGCCAAAGTGGAAGCCACGTGGAGCCATCTTGTGATGGCATGAGGACATCACAGTGTGATGGCATGAGGACCACCTAGGCTTTTATTAGTAAGATGCTGACAAATTGTTGCCTGTTTCCATCTTGAATTGTACACTTCTTATATCAGGAACTGAATTTTATTGATTGACTGTCAATGTCCTCCAACCAAAGACTACCAAGAACATACCTACAGTTGAAGTTGGGTTTACTGATATTTCAAAGAAGAAGAATACTCACTTGCCATGGGGCACGTTGGAGAGTTAGAACTAATTATATGAAGTACTTGGCTTTGTATTAGGTGATTTTGGTGAGTATTTAAGGAAGTAAGGCTTTGTTTTGGATTTGATGCTGGCTTGAAATGGAGGTAATTCTGATTGGCAATCTTAAAAAAAATCTCAACTAGAAGGAGAAAAATATAGATAGAAGTTAAAATTGTTAAAGAATCAGTAGTCACATATATCAGACATGATATGGAGATTCTTCATTTTCGTGGTTTAAAAAGTGTTCACGTTTTGTTTGTATTCAGACATCAGTATGCTGCGCTTTTGTCTTGATCCTTCATGGTCCTAGAAGTGGCCTCTTCTGATACTGCTGTTCTGTGAATTGTTGTGTTTAACTGGAGAACAACAATGCCTCGCTGGGAGTGCCAGGCCAGCTCCTAGCAACACCAGGGCCTGATAGAGCTGGGCCGGTTTGTAGCTGTCAGGTCCTGCTTTTTCTTCTCAGTCCTCCTTTTTAACCAAGGGAAGACAAAGACGGGCCATGGGATATCAATCCATGATATTCAGATTTTCTCCCTTAACAAGATTTGCTGATTAAGATCAGGAGGGTGTCCAGAGAAGGTAGTCAATCACATACAAGGGTTAAATCCATTTTTTCCCTTTTTCTTTTTATTGTGGGATAAGTTACCTTATGTAACCATGGCTGTGCTTTAGCATTTCAGACTCTGAATAAAATACACCAGCCAACTGTAACACAATTACCACAGAAAAAACATTATTAGTCCTAGTAACAAGCCTTGAATCCAGGAGGTTAAGTTCTAAAACCTAGGCAATGAAAGCATGTGCCAGAATCCATTTGTGCCTGTTGTTTTTCTTAGTCATGGTTGTTTTACTTGCCTTGTAACACACGTAGGTCAGGCAAAGAAGTATTTACTCTAGGATGCCTCGTCCTTAGCTAGCTAAAAGAAAACCAATGGCTATTGAGTCATCTGTGATAATGCTGGCTCATAAATTTAAAATTGCTTGTTGGATTTCTAGGGCAGAATTTATGTCACTTATGATGTTTGCTAAGATCAGAGACACACTTTAGACCATCTTTTACAATTGTATTATCCCTTCTGTGGGATCATTGTGACTCACAGTCAGTGTGTAGCAAACATAGTACTTTTGATGTTCACATAAGAAGTAGTGTCCTATTGGGCAAGGACTATATTGAAAGTAAGAATAGCATTTAGAATAACAGACGTGAACCATTTTCTTTTTTCAAGGGGGTATAATTTCTTGAGTGGCGTTAAACAATTCCTTCAAAATAGGATTGAGTGTCTCTGAAAAGAACAAGTTAACTACTATACTAGTGATATCCCCAATATTAATTTTTATTTCTGATGGGCTAGGTTTTGCTGATATGGTTATAGTGTTTTTGACAGGATCCTTTTCAGTGGTCGGCAAACCGCGGCTCTCGAGCCATGGCTCTCGAGCCATATGCAGCTCTTTGGCCCCTTGAGTGTGGCTCTTCCACAAAATACCGACTTCTGCGCATGGGCCACGAAGTTTCAATCGCACTGTATGTGCGCTCCCGCACGTGGTATTTTGTGGAAGAGCCACACTCAAGGGGCCAAAGAGCCGCATGTGGCTCCCGAGCCGCAGTTTGCCGACCACGGCTTTAGTTGACATGAGGTCAAGGTTCACTTTTTATAAGATTAAAGTTGGGATTAAATGATGTGAGGTATATTTAAGTGTCGGGAGGGAACTGAAAAAGGGACTCTATCATCTGAACTGTTTAATAATTAATAATTAATTAATTTTGTTGGCAATAAGTCAAATCAAAACAGTAGCTATTAATTTAGAAAATGTGCCAATGAGTTTTTGTTTAAAGTGGCAAGAGTCCACAGGAAGTTAAAGTTAACAGGACAAAGATTTTTTTTAAAAAAAATTCCCCCCCAAAATCTTTAAAATATATTTTTGAGAGTTTTTTAGTTAGTTAATGAAGGATGCAAAGTCTAATAATAGGCAATCTTAGCGGCAAAGCCAAAAGTACAAAAAAAAGTTGCTGAGAAATCAGGAAATGGCTTTTATTGTATTATCTCTATGGAAGCTGTCTACTTTTTCCATCACTAGCTCACTCCAAGGTTTTGGATGGGAGTTTCCACTTATGGAGGCGTCACAGAGATAATTCCTAAGAATCTTCGGTTTAAGGTCCCATTATGGAATGTAAGTAAGAAGGAATTGATGTATGTCTTTAAATTGGTAAACATTACCCCAGTGATCAACACCTTAGAGTTTTACTGTTGTGTTAATTATGAATAGTTTATTTCATCATGGCTCAAGGGCAGTTTTTCAAAAGATCAAGTTTAGATTTCAGATTATGCAGAGACTGTTTAAGTAGATGCTTTAGAAATGCAACTCTACCTACTGGTGACAAAGCCTTGGTTATAAATCTATTGCATTATGCAAGTCAGCATAACTTTGCTCCTCATGAACACGGCACAGGCCTTTTTCTACGTTTAACACAATGCCTTGTACATAGTGAGTGCTCATTGAATAGCTGTGGATTTGATCTGATTAAGCAGACAAATACTAAACTGACCACTAAAGTTATGAAATACTGAAGTTATGTTCATTGTCATCTTACTGTTTAAATTACTTGCCAGGAATTATTCACATCTTACAAGAAAACCTTTAGGACTTTCATCTCTATCTACACTTGAGAAATGCTAACTGAAAATTAATTCAATAAATAAAATACGGTGAGCCACACAAGTTCTGTGAAGACATAGAGAATGAACATATTTTGTTTGTTGGGCTCTAGCCTAGAGGGGCAGCAACTCACACCTTCTTATCAATAGTAATAAATTGGCAGCCTCAACCTATTATAATTCTCTAGGGTGGGTGCTGTTACACATTCAGTACTTGGATATAAAACTCAGAGTATATAGTCTCTCTTCAGAGGTTTTAACTGGTTCCTTTTCGTTTTGACGAATACATCAGAGGAAACTGAGGCTAATAAGAAAGAAGAAAAGAAAATGTACTTTTTAAAATACCTCCAATGGTCCTCATGCTGGTGAAAATACCTCCAATGGTCCTCATGCTGGTGGAAAGAACCCAGATTTTGGTGTCAGGTGGATCCCTATTTTGCTGGCTTTATTTGACTTTGTCTTCTTTGGTTTCCTCCGTTTATCCTTATTTGTACAGACTATTCAAATATCAAATGAAGAGCTAAAATTATTTTTCAAAAATAATGTTGAATCCAAATTGCAGGCATCTATTAGTAAATTGTGCTAAGTAGATTAAGATTCTGATTTCTTTTATTTATACTTGGAATTTTTTAAAAATATATTTTATTGATTTTTTACAGAGAGGGAGAGGGTTAGAGAGTTAGAAACATCGATGAGAGAGAAACATCGATCAGCTGCCTCTTGCACACCCACTACTGGGGATGTGCCCACAACCAAGGTACATGCCCTTGACCGGAATAGAACCTGGGATCCTTCAGTCCACAGGCCAATGCTCTATCCACTGAGCCAAACCGGTTAGGGCAGATTCTGATTTTTTCTTATTTTCCTACAAAAAGGAAGAAAAAGAAAGAAAGAGAAAGAGAGGGAGTGAGGAAGGGAGAGAGGAGAGAGAGAGAGAGGGAGAAAGAAAGAAAGAAAGAAAGAAAGAAAGAAAGAAAGGAAGGAAGGAAGGAAGGAAGGAAGGAAGGAAGGAAGGAAGGAAGGAAGGAAGGAAGGAAGGAAAAAAGAAAGGAAAAAGAAAGGAAAAAAGAAAGAAAGAAAAGTTGGTTGTGTTTTGGCTTCAGAAAGCGAGATCCTGCAGTTGAGACAGGATAGAAATAGCTTTTAAAAGCTAAATGAAATGAATAGTCTTGCAAAGGGAAAAAATGGAATTTTTCATGAGTCCCTGGAAACCTGCAAAAAAGCGTCAGAACTGTTGTTTTCAGTAATAATTGTGATTACTTGGTTAAAATACCCGCACGAGAAGATTTCTACATTTTTTGTGCCTCTACAAGGAAAATTAAAACAGAACACACAGCATTGGGGCCAATTTGTTTCCAAGGAAGTCAATTATTAATACAGTATTTAGTATTTAATGAACTAAGCCTAAGCGTGTGAAACGCTGCAGAGAGATCTTCATACCAGCGGAGAACAGGTGTTGGTATAAGCTTTGCCCGTATGTTTACCAGCTGATTAGTACCCATTAAAATGATAATAATCTAATAAAAATACTTTATATCTAGTGAAAGGAGAAAGTCTCCTGTGTGTTGGAAAAATTATTTTATTTCTATTGCCATAGCAGTGATAAGATTGAAGTAACAAGGAGCCACACAAAAGCAGCCTGAAGAATCTGAGTGTCTGTTCCTTAGACTTTTCCCCTTTTGTGTCCCTTTCTCCACAGGTTGTCTAGGCAGTCAGGACAGTAATTTTCTTTTCATGGATTCAAAGAAGGACAAACAGATATCCACTTACCAACATCCTCTTCAGCAATAATAAAAGAAATCAGATCCTTAGTAAACCACGATGCTTTCTACCATCAACAAGTCAACAAATAACAAGTGCTGGCAAGGATGTGGGGAAATGGGAACCCTGGTGTGCTATTGGTGAGAATGCAGACTGCTACAGTCAATGTGGGAAACAGTATGGAGTTTCATTAAAAAATTTAAAATAGAACTGCCTTTTGACTCAGTGATCCTACTTCCGGGACTATATCTTCAGAATTCCAAAACACCAATTCGAAAGAATATAGGCACTCCTATGTTCATAGCAGCATTATTTACAATAGTCAACTGCCCATCAGTCAATGAATGGATAAAAAAAGCTGTGGTACATTTACACAATGCAATACTGTATGGCTATTAAAAAGAAAGAAGTCTTACCCTTTGAGACAGCATGGATGGACCTGGAGAGTATTATGCTAAGTGAAATAAGCCAATCATAGAAATATCATATGATCTCACTTATATGTGGAATCTACTGAACAAAATAAACTGATGAACAAAAAAGAAACAGAGGCATGGATACAGAGAATAGATTGACAGCTGTCAAGGGGTGAAAGGGGACTGGATGAAAGAAGGTGAAGAGATTAGCCAAAGAACATATATGCAAAACCCATAGACACAGACAACAGTGATCCCATTATCTAGTTTATTCTGCTTATGAATCCATTTTGTTTGTGACTCTATTCCATCTAGTTTAACAATATATAGTGAATGCATTCTTATATCAGTTATTGTTCTTAAGTTGGGAATACTGAAGCAATAAAAATTTTTAATTCTTCAAAAAACCATGCTGCGTTGTCTGCTTTAGGAGTTTGAGTGAGGCCATGGTGTCCTGAAGGAACATCTGGGCCTTGGTTGTCCAGAGAGCACCAAATATTTGCTAAGGAAACCCTGAGACATCCCTGACCTGGCGATTGCCTGACAAATTCCTGATTTCAGACTAGTCATAGTAAACCTTGTGATGAAGGTGAGGTCACCTGATCCCAGCCCCACAGTCCCAACCACTTCTCCGCCTGACATACTCTACTTATTCTGTCTCCCCTGAGCCTAGCACATTTTGTTTTTGCTCTTCTACCAAAGCTGAGCTCAGGACATTTTCAGGAATTGAGTTACACTATAGGGTAGAGATAGAAAACTAAGGGTTATTTCCATTGTGACCAGGATCAAATCCCTCCTCGCTGACCTACTAAAGGTCCACTGGAGGAAGTGTGGGCATGTGGCCAAGTATAGGTGATAGAGGCTAACATGCATTTACCAGCCTCATTTATCTGTAAGGTTACAGGGCCCAAATATTACATAATGGGGTGTCTTCTTAAAAGTGCTGATGAAAACATAGTAGAAAAAATAAGTATGGGGGGGTAAAAATATATTTTTATTGATTTATTTTAATAGTGATGAGGACCCTATTGAAATTTGAATTACAGAAAGGAGGCAATGGGAGAAAAACCAGATGATTTTTGAAAATAAAAATTTTGTGGAAACTGAACAAGAAAGAAGCATCTCAATACTAATATCAAAGTCTGTCCTTTGTTTATGTGTTCTGCAACGTCCAGATTGTGCAATATTTTTAAATTGCTTAATAGTTCTGATTAGCATTAGAATGATTTAAGGACTGTTTCGGTAAATAGAAAGTTCCACATTTAAAATTTAAAAATCAACCTCTAATTGATCGGAACAGAGTAAAGGTCATTTCAAAAGAAGACGTGGACAAACCCCAGATGAACACAGAGGTTAGACTAGCTCTGGAAGGGAAAGGTCAGCAGACTTACTCTTTTGACCGATCCCTTGCTTTTCTGGGCTATTACTGGAAACAGACTTGAAGGAAGACGTCCTAAGGTCACCTGGGGCTCTGGGGCTCAAGGCAACCATGCAAAAATCTCAAGGGCTCAGGCTCCCCATCTCACAAATGACACATTGTGAATTGGTGCCTGTATGAGTGAGGACCTGAGCTGTGAAACAGTCACCATGCTGGCAGAAAAGCATTGCTGTTATTTCTATGAAGGCAACTGTGAAACGTTGTGAGTTTTCTTTGCCATGACTGGTGACTTTTAACACTCAAGGAAAACCTCTTGTGCTAAACAGTGAACTTGAAAATCAGATCAGGAACCAAAAGAGATATAAATTCCAAGGCCGTAAACTGGCCACTTTTGGGAAAGCACAATTTAGGAAGTGGACTAGTGACCCTTTTTGTATTCATGTCTTTATCTTTAGCCCACAGGATAGTGAGCTGGTCCTGAATTAATAGTTCTTAGAGTGAACTTCCACCTGAACAGGAGGAGGAAATCTGGAATGATGATAGCAGAACTATACTATAAAACTTGATCGGATCTTTTCAGGTAACCAATTCAAGTCTGAACTTTTATGTCTAATTTGTCATTTTATTTGGCAGAGTCACACGAGTAAATCTCCAAGGGTTCTGCCTATTCTTATATATCTGTCCAATACATTTGGGTAAAAATACAATTACAGTGGAATGCCAACAGTGAGCAAGAAGCCCCAAAATCTCATTAAAGATAGAATTTGTGTTTCTTAGGAAAATTTGGAAAAAGTATTAGGATTCAGTATGTATGGATTGAGTTTAGGATACATAGGATTGTATGGGGAACTTTACGTAAGTGCTTTATGGCTAACATATGGAAAGGAATAAGGAAGGATAAAATCAAGTCCCCTGGATATGCTGGAGTGATGACTTCACTACTACTGGAGCTGTCACTGGGGTTAGCAGATGGAGTATTATGATGGTGAGTCCTTTCTGTTGCACAATCCTAGTGAAATTTAGATGTTAGCTGGCCCCTCATAGTATGTAGGCACCTTACACTGTGTTCCCATCCTCCCCAATTTACCATGTAGTTACCAAGACTAATTTCTTAGAAGGCAGTGAGTTATACAACAATAGCAACAAAACATTCCTATTACACCAGAATAAAGTCCTTAAGGAGAACTGACCCCTTCCTTGTATGTAGTACCATTTACTCTTCCTTGCAGTCATGGGAGGCAGGCATTTTTCTCCATGGTTCATCTTTCAGAAAACTGAAGTCCACAAAGTTTCACAGTTAGTTTACAAAAAGAGGTGAAATAATATCTAAATCATATGACTCCAAGTCAGGGTTACTTTTGTACCCCACAGGGAACCAGGCACTCTTGGACACAACATCCAAGGGAAGGGAAGAGATTATTGGCTTTTCATTATAATCCTAAGCACAAAAAGATAAGAAATTTTGCCCAGCCAGCATGGCTCAATGGTTGAGTGTTGAACTATGAACCAGGAGGTCACGGTTCGATTCCCAGTCAGGGCTCATGCCCAGGTTTCAGGCTTGAATCACAGTGTGGGGTTTTGCAGGAGGCAGGCAAGTGATGATTCTCTCCCTTCATTGATGTTTCTCTCTCTCTCCCTCTCCCTTCCTCTCTGAAATCAATAAAAATACATATTTTTTAGAAACAACAAATTCTGATTAGAATGAGTTAGGAGGCCTTGATTTAATCCAGTTTATCAGTTATCCTGAAAAGGGCGTGTTCTGAGAAAGGAAGTCAACTAGCCTAAGAACATCTGGAAAGAAAATGAGAGGCCTCCCACAGGCTCTTTCTACAGCTTTTACTCAACTCATTTTGTTAGCAGGGGTTCTCCCTGACAATGAAACCGAGGAAGAAGAAAATCTTTTCGTAACAATAACATGCATGTGCTGTGAGAGAGATGAAGCGGAAGATTAAGCAAGAAACCCAGTTATTTTATTGCCCTAAGGCGTTACTCATTTTCCTGACACATTATGTTTTTAATTAAAATTGCATGTGAGTTAATTAAAATATTCACTCAGGCACTTTTTCCTCTCTTCCTGCTATTCTTTTAGCTTTTTGGTAAAACTCACTTTCATTTTAATTCTGCTGTCTTTGTCAGCTTCAACTTTAGCAAAGAGTTTGTACACTAAAGTAAATTTTAAAAATCTATTTCTAAAAACTCATTGTTAAGTGACCAGAGGAAATGGAAGTGGCCAGAGGTGGAATCATTATGGCTCCTGCATTGTTCTTTGCTTATTTAATAAAAAAATGTTAAATTGGCGTTAATGGCAAGTGTATTAAAAAAAGGTCCTTGTGAATTTTTTTTGCCATAGAATGTTTATCCATCTTCAATCCTTTTTCTCCCTGTGACTTGACAGATTTTTATTCCTCAGAAATGTGTTAATGCATCTGAGAAACTAGTGCCTGGCTGACTCGTGTACTTATTTTCCCCTGCTCCCTGAATAAGGGCTGCCATGCCCTGCTTTCCAGATCAGATTTCTAAAGTACCAGCATTAGCTCAAATGGGTGTGGTGCTCACCCAAGTTTGATTTTGTGCCATAGCTGGACAGGTCCCTCCCTGGCACCTGCAATCCATTAATCCTCTAAACTCTTTAACTCTCTTCCCAGCTTAAATTCCATTATAATTCTATCCCCACTCTTTATAGCAAAACTATGGCTGAGAATTAAATCCATATGTCTTCCTAGTTCTTGCCTGCACTTGGACAGTGTATGGATGGAGAAAAGTTTCCAACTACCGGAACTTGCCTCCCTTTAAATCAGGTGCACCCACAATGTTGCCTGGCAGTCATGTCAGTTTCCCTCTTCCACTCATTCTCTCCTAGACCACCCTCTTATTTCTCCTCAGCCTTCATAACCCTTCCTGAATGCACTCTTATTCTTGGAGTCTGTGGAAGTTCTCCTCTAATTGCTCCAATTTTCTCAATGAATTGGTTTCCCATTTTATTCAGAGTAGAAGCCAAAGTCCTTCTAATGTCTAACAAGGCCTCACAAAGTTCACTCAGTTCTAGACTTTCCTCTTAAATATTCACATGCTAATTCATTTACGTCATTGTTCAAAAGTCATATTTTTAATGTCTACCCACACCACCTATTGAAAATTGCAATCCCCTATTTCCTGAGGCCTCATACCCTGTTTTCTTTTGTTTTCTATAGAGTTTATCATCTTTTAACCTACTAGATGGGATTTTTTTTTTCTGTTTTTATTCTATTGATTGCCTCCCACATATGTAAAAGTTATCTCCCTCTAAAATTAGGGCTTTTGTATTTTTTTGCATTAAAAGTCCAAGCATGTA